CTCTCGCCAGCGAGCAGTGGAAGGAAGCTCGCATCGCCCAGTTCACGTCGCAGCGGGGCCCGTCTCTGCCGACGAGATCAGGAAGCTGAGAGAAGAGGGAGGCGATGCTGTGCCAGCGACCCTTCTCGTGGACGGGACTTCCGTCTTCACGGCATTGGTCACGATCTTGTCCGGCCACCGTCCGAGAACAGCATGGCTGGCCATCTGCGGCGTTTATCAGTCCAACTTCGCACCAGGCTGATTGACACTCGCGACACGCGGGCCGACCCCATGTTTAGTGGGAGTACAGGCTGGGAGCTGCTCCTGGAAATCATGAATGGCCAGCTCAGCCACGACCAAAACACTGTCAAGCTGAACGAAAAAAGGCACAACAAGTTCGTGCCCAGCCCCCAACAGCGACTTCACCATCAAGGAGGAGGGCGTCACGAATGATTGAACGATCAGGCGCCCACATCTCCCAGACAACGCTCGCGAATGCGACGTCCGATTGTGCCAGTGAGGGTTGACAAGTTTACGCAAAGCCGACCAAAGTGACGAAGTCACCGGGTTGTCCAACATCGCCAGCAGTTGTGGCTTGGGCTTGCAGGACCACGTCATCGCAGTTCACGGCGTCAGCGATGGCAGAGAGGGATACAGGTTCTTGCATTGCGCGAGCCACGTTCACGAATGCGACATAGCAAGGCGTGCAAGAGATGGGCTGCTTCCGTGGACTATGTTCGTGGAGCAGCAGGCGCAAAGAATGAGCACGCACGTGAGTGAAGCCTGCTCTATCTAATCGTCTGCTGCCTGCAGCTTTCTATGAGGCTGCGTTGGCTGCCGCACGGTTTGCGCGCGGCGGACGAGAAGGCACAAGAATCTTGTCTGAGCACCAGACTCGGACGGCATGTCCCCTTTGTGCCCCTGACCTTTTTGTATGTTGTATAGACAGAAAGACGGAGCTGCACGTAAGGAACAGGCGTGTCCCTGGGCATTTAGCTCAAGGAGCGTTCCTGGCGCGCCCGCTTTATTCTCTTTTGACACTCTCCTTATACCGGCCTTACAGAAACATGTGTTTCTCATACACATATAATTCATTATTACCTTCACCCTTCTTTTCACGCTAGACCAACGTAAGGAACGAGCCTGTCGCGTTCCTCATCCTCCTCCTCCTTCCCCTCCTCCTCCTCCTCCTCCTCCTCCGCCTCCTCCTCCTCCTCCTCCTCCGCCTCCTCCTCCGCATCCGCTCCTTGAAGATAACCCCTCCTTGTCGCACCTCCAGACGTGTTGGCAACGCGGGCACGGCGTTTCGCTTGAGACTTCCTCACCATTCAGCATCCTGAAGCTTGAAATTTGCAGCAGTTCCACGGGCGGGGGGAGGGTAGCTTTCAAACCCGGAATTCTCGTTTTAACGCCCTGCATGTTCGGTTGAAGAGTTTGCAATAGTTATAGGGTTCGAGGGGGTTGTGCTCAAAATGGAATTATCGCCCTAGCGCCGCGCACACGCATTTTAAGAATTAGTTCGGTGAAGGATCCAACCGTATGCAGTTGTGGGTGCCGTCGTTGTACCCATTGCACTCGATGGAGATCTCTACGGAGCCACGAAACGTGTGAGGGGTGTGCCACGATGGGTGCGGTGGGCGCACGCAAGCGCTTGCATGTGGGCTGTCGGTGAAGTTCCTTGTGGGGCCACGAAACGCGTGAGGGGTGTGCCAAGATGGAGGCGGTGGGCGCGTGCGAGCGCTGGCATGCGGGCTTTCCGTGGAGTTTCCTATGGGGCCGCGAAACGTGCGACGGGTGTGCCAAAATGGGCGCGGCGGCCACATGCGAGCGTTGGCGTGTGGGCCGTCGGTGGGAGCTTCCTATGGGGCCACGAAACGCGTGAGAGGTGTACCAAAATTGGTGCGGCGGCCGCATGCAAGCGCTGGCATCGGGGCCGTCAGTGGAGCCCCCCATATGGGGCCACGAAACGTGCGAGGGTATCCCTAAATGGGCGCGGCGGGCGCATGCAAGCGTTGGCATTTGAGCCATCGGTTGAGCTCCCCATGTGGCCACGAAACGTGTGAGGGGTGTGCCAAAATGGGTGCGGCGGCCACATGCGAGCGCTGGCATCTGGGCCGTCGATGCCCGATGGGGCCACGAAGTTTATGAGGGGTGTATCAAAATGGGCACGGTGGCCTCATGCAAACGTTGGCATCTGGGCAGTCGGTGAAGCTTCCTTTGGGGCCACGAAACGTGTGAGGGATGTGCCAAAATGGGTGCGGTGGCCGCACGCGAGCGCTGGCATGTGGGCATTCGATGGAGCTCCATATGGGGCCACGAAGCGTGTGAAGGGCTTGCCAGCATGGCCGCGGTGGCAGCATTCGAGCGTTGGCAAATGGGCTGCTAGCGGAGTGCACGATGGGGCCACGAAACGCGTGAGGGGTGTGCCAAAATTGGCGCGGTGGCCGCATTCGAGCGCTGGCATTTGGGTATTCGGTGGAGCTCCTAATGATATGGGGATACGAAACGTGTGAGGGGTGCTCCACAGTGAGGGAGGTGACGGAAGGAGGGTGGAGGAGGAGGAGCAGGAGGAGAGGAGAGGAGATGCGGGATTTGTTTTCAAAACGAGGACCCAACACCCCAGGATGGTTGGGAATTGAAGCAGTTACAGGGGTGGAGGGGTCAAATCTAGTTGGCAGCAAGTGCAGTGATGGAGGGTGTGCGTTTCAAAAAGAAGTTTGCACATCAGCGCCGCGCACGTTCTTCTCAGGTTTGAAACAGTTTTAATCAGATAGGGTGATGGAAGGCTCCTTCGCGAAACGGTGATATCGCACAAGCGCTGTCACCTACGCCCTAAAAGATAGAAGCAGGTGCAAGGATGCAGAGGGTCCGAAGTCAGTTCTCATCCTAGCGCCTCGCACATTCGTCGTAACAGCTTGCGGCAACAAGGATGAGAAGTGAGTGGTTTCAGAATGGGTCCTCGCTCGGGACCTTCCTGAGTCTACACAAACTTGAACACATGTAACGGCTGCACGGATGGAGGGCGTTTCGTTGTCAGCATGGTGGTATCGTTGGGGACTTCTTGGGATGCAGGACCAGAGCAGCAAAGTTGCGCTACAGTTACACTGACGGGGGGGAGTCAAAGCGGTGATATCACGGGACGCTTCGCTGAAATGCATGACCAGATCGGTTCAGCATTCTTTATTGTTCGCCAGAAGGATGCAAGGCATGTTTGTTGTCAAATGGAGGTCGCGCTTGAACGGTCGGGCAGCAGGGTGCTAGTCTTTCTAGGGGGCCCTTGTTGCAGTGAAAAGGAAGGCCTGTAGGGACTGTGAAAGGGGAAGTTGGAACGGAATGGTGTTTTGCACCATTGTCAACGCATAGTGGGGTGTCTCTTTTATTCATCTTCATACGCCCACCCCCCTTTATCCTCATACTTCTCCGCATTCTCCTCCGATTGCCCTTTCTCGTTCGCCTCCTCCTCCTCCGACCCCCCCTCCCCCCGCCGTCTCTTTCATATCCGTAAGGGCTTCGCAACATGCCGCCGGCCCCCTGTCTCGGATAATGGGAGATGCAAAAGCTAAATCATGAGGTCTGGGCGCCGCCGTGAAGCAGTGTCGGGACCTCATTGTTTTTCGACCCTGACCCTACGGATCTGCGTCACGGGTGCCACCGAATTTCAGAAATGTGGCAAATTCTTTGTGCTTTTGGACCCTGACCCTACGGATCTGCGTGAGGGGTGCCGCCGAATTTCAGAAATGTTGCAAATCCCATGTGTTTTTGGACCCTGACCCTGCCGATCTGCGTGAGGGGTGCCGCTGAATTTTAGACATGTGGCAAATCCCATATGTGTTTGGACCCTGACCCTGCCGATCTGCGTGAGGGGTGCCACCAGATTTCAGAAATGTGGCCAATCCCATGTGTTCTTGGACCCTGACCCCGCCGATCTTCGTGAGGGGTGCCACCGGATTTCAGAAATGCGGCAAACCCCCTGACCCCGCCGATTTGCGTGAGGGGTGCCACCCAATGTCAGAAGTGGATCAAATCCATTGTGTTTTTGGACCCTGACCCCGCCGATCTGCGTGAGGGGTGCCACCAGATTTCAGACATGTGGCAAATCCTATATGTGTTTGGACCCTGACCCCGCCGATCTGCGTGAGGAGTGCCACCGAATTTCAGATATATGGCAAATCCAATGTGTTTTTGGACCCTGACCCCGCCGATCTGCGTGAGGGGGTCCAATTTTTACCCACCCCAGCAATTCAGAGCACACTCAGGGCGTGGTAAGAATGCCCGTTTTGGGCCTCCCCCCTCGCGCGGTCCATCAACAAGGAACAGTAAGCAGCAAGAAGCAGAATTGTAACAGTGGAAACTGGAAGCTGCAACTGGTATAGGAAACTGCGAACCTTCGCTCTACAGCCTGGTGACCCTACAAGGGGGCAGGCGGATTCCTCTCCCCAGGCTCATCCCCCTCTTCCTCTCCCCTCCTCATTCTGCCCACCTCTGCCTCTTCCCCTGCTTCTTCCGTATCATCTTGTGTCTCTTCCTACCCTACGGCGACGTTGACCGCCCCAGTTGCGACGGCGACGGCACCGGGTGGCGGCGCGCAGCGCAGGAGCGTGCAACAGGTAGTGGAAACTATTGCGGTACAGTAGTGGCGGCTGAACCAGCGACCCAGCGGCGACAGGGACAAGGATTGCAGCGGCAGCGGCAGGCGGATGGGGACACAGCGAGAAGGGCGACGACAAAGGCCTGCGGCGAGCGCAGGTGCCGACAACTGGCGGCAGCGGCGGTGATGCGGCTGTACGACAGGGACAGACTCGACAGTCGTGGCAGCAGCGGTGCCGACACAACGGCGGACACCCTTTGAGCGCCGACGAGGGCAATGCGAGGAGCGGGGGCGCGCAAGTGTGGCAGCAGCGGTGGCGATACGACTGCGGCAGCGGTGGCGCGGAGAGATCGCAGCGGTGGCGGGGGCACGACGACGGTTTCGACGACGACGGCGGCGACGATGGCGGCGACGACGACTGTCCTCCGCCCAGGGGGCTCGAGCAGGACGCTATCGTGGTGCCCTCGGGGGGGGGGGGGGCTTGCTGGGGAAGGGGGGGTGAAAGACAAGCTGGGCGTGTGCGTAACTAGTCTGGCCTGCCCGACTTATTCGTTTTGTCCCGTTCCGTTGCGTTTCCTTCCCGATTGCCAGTGTCCTGGAGGCTTATATTCCATGCGCCATGGTTGCGGCGGTCAAGCATCAACATGCCCGTCCCAAGGGGGAGAACCAGGCAACGGTGTCCAAGATCGTTGTTTGGTGCGTGGAGCCGTTCGAACCCATGTGAACCAATGGTATTGCAAAGAGACAGTTTCAGAGCACGCAGGAAATCATGCGACATTGAACGGTCGGCCTAAAGTGACAACTAAGCGAGGACCACGTCGGCTGGGTATCGCGTTGTAAGACCATCGGGAACACAGCAGGGTGTTTGCCGGCGTGGACCCAATCAGTGGGTTTTGGTGCGCTCGATCTGGATTGCGCGTGATGCCGTATGTGCACGTTGCGCATATGTGTTGCAATGCTTACATGTGTGCACGCATCTGCGTGATATGCAGACACACATATATGTATATATAAAAATACACACACATGTATTTGAGATATGATGCATCGATGTTTGTTGTTCAAGTGATGTGGTGTTATTTACGTGGTGCTGTTAAACCAGTGAATAATGAGTTGTCAGCCCCACTGCTCAAGCAAACATCCCACTCGGTCGGCGTCGTAAGAGATTGTGATGTTAAGGCTCTCTCTTGGCTCACTCTTTCTTCGCGTTCGATCGAACCCTCCTTGGGGATATAGCTTCCTTTCCTGCCACAGGTAGTTGGCGCCGCCCCCAAAGCAGGAGAACGGAAGAAGGAGGGAACGGACAAGGGGGAGGGAGAAGGATGGAGCACGAGAAAGATTAGCAGGAGCGGGTGTAGGAGCAGGAGAACAAGCGGCAGAACCAGACGGACAGGTCGGGCGGGCGGACCCTGACGGGCGGGTCGGGCGGACAAGCCCAGACGGCCAGGGGGTCGAGCGGGCGCGTCGCTGAAGCGTCAGTCCTGAATGAATAGCGAGGAGGTCTCGAGCGGTAGCGCGATCCCCAAGTACATCGCGAGGAAGTCCAGTGCAAGAGCGGGATTGATTGTCGAGGGCGCGGCGTGTCAATAAAATGCGAGGAAGTCCCACGCGAGAGCGCGAGTCTCGGACAAATTGTGAGAAAGCTTCGCGCGAGAACGCGATGCTGAACAAATTGTGAGGTAGTATCAGGCTGGAGCCGCTCTTGTGGTAAACCAGAAGCCAGGGGCACACTCTAAGGCCCACAGCTCCCCCCTAAAAAAACAGCCAATTTAACAAAAAATCCATGGGCACTGGAGCAGAGAGATCCGCAATATGTTTTAAAGAAAGGAGATGTCAACGATCACTTTACCGTCACGCGCCATGATGCTACATTCCATTTGCATCCGTCATGATTGCACACCTTGTTGGGGGAATTGTACAAAAAGGGTGGCGAGATTCCCGCACCCAGATCTCCCGCCCAAGGAGGTCGAGCCAACACTTCTCCCGCGGCACTTCCTCATTTCCAGCTCGCATGAGACATCAAAAGAGCATGACCAACTTGGGGAGCGGACAGAGGGGAGACTACCCTCAAACCGCCTTGCGCCATTCGGTGCGTTCTTCTGTGAGGAAACCGTGAAAGAAATTGCAACGAATTCGCCATGCAAAAAATGGTGCGCACCCAGAAAAAACCTGCTGTAGTTGAACAGTCACGCTCTGGCAGTTAAAACTCGGCGCTCCCAGGCCGGCCACGCCCCTTAAGGAAGTACACTGGTCCGCGTTCCACAGGCTACGCCCAAGGAAGTATCGATCAGGAGCCCTTGTCGTGACAGTTGGGCCTCCACACGTTTTTATTGAATTGCGAGGAAGTCTCGAGCGAGAGCGCCCTGCTTGAGTTTGGGTGCCTCTGTGGCCAGGGTCTCGGAGTAAACTGTGAGGAAGCATCGAGCTTGCATTCCGAAAAGGCTCGACCGAGAGCGCCGTTCGTAAATTTCTGGGCCCTCTCTGGCCGGGGCGTTTCGGTGCAAATTGTGAGGGAATATAGAATGGGTTGCCGTTGTCGTCGTGGTTAAGCCTCCAACACGTTGAATGCAGTGCAAGGAAGTCTCGAGCGAGACCGACGTTCCTGACTTTCGGTGCCTTTCTTGCCAGGGCGTCTCACAGGAAGTATCGAGCGGGAGCCCTTGTCGTCATGGCCGGGCCTCCGTCAACAAGTGCAAGGACGTCTCGAGCAACAGCGCCGTGCTTGAGTTTGGGGGCGTTTCTGGCCAGGGCCTCTAGGAGTAAATTGTTAGGCTTATCGAGCGGGAGTCGTCGACGTCGCAGTTTGGTCTCCACCAACTTCATTGCCTTGAAATCCATTGGCCTGCAAGGAAGTCTCAACGAGAGCGCCGTCCCTGAGTGGTGGGCCCTCTCTGGCCAGGGCGTCTCGGAATAAATTGTGAGGTAGTCTCATGCGGTGGCCATTGTCGTCCCACTTGATTGAATTGCAAGGAAGTCTCAACGAGAGCGCCGTCCCTGAGTTTGGGGCCTGCTCTGGCCAGGATCTCTCGGAAATAGATTGTGAGGATGTATCGAGAGGTAGCCGTTGTCGTCGCAGTTGGGTCTCCACCTACTTGGTTGGATTGCAAAGGAGTCTCAAACAGAGCGCCGTTCCTGAGTTTTCGGCCCTCTTTGGCCAGGCCTTTCGGAGTGAATTGTACGGAAGTGTCGAGCGGGAGCGTTGTTGTTGCTGGTGAAATATCATGTCTCAAGAATAGTTATTGATGATGTCACTCTCTGGTGCCCACTTGGTTCCCAACCATCTCTTGGTGTTGGGTCCTCGTTTTGTAGAGACAGCGCCCGCGTTCCTACCGCTGCCCCCCCCCCTCCCCATCCATCCTTGCATTTGCCTTCCGCACCAGCCAACAATTTCTGCACATTCTTCACGCTTCGTGGACCCATCGGGAGCTCCACCGAGGGCCCCAGTGGCTGCGCTCGCATGGCACCACCGCACCCATGTCGGCACACTTCGCACACGTTTTGTGGCCCCATGCGGAGCTCCACCGAAGGCCCGCTGCGCTCGCATGGCACCACCGCGCCCACTTCGTCTCACCCCTCACACGCTTCGCCGCCCCATACGGAGCTCCACCGAGGGCCCCAGTGGCTGCGCTCGCATGGTACCACAGCGCCCATATCGGCACACCTTTCACACGCTTCGTGGCCCCATAGGAATCTCCACCGACGGCCCCAGTGGCTGCGCTCGCATAGCACCACCGCAACCACGTCGGCGCACCCCTCACACGTGGCCCCATAGGGAGCCCCACCGAGGGCCCCAGTGGCTGCGCTCGCATGGAATCGCCACACCAATGTTGGCGCACCTCTCACACGTTTTGTGGCCCCATAGGAATAGGAATCTCCACCGAGGGCCCCAGTGATTGCGCTCGCATGGCACCACCGCGCCCATGTCGGCGCACCACTCACACGTTGATCAGCCCCGTATGGGAGTTCCGCCCGCTCAACCTTGCCGCCCGGGCTTGTCCGCCCGACCCGCCCGATAGGGTCCGCCCGCCCGACACGCCCGTCTGGCTCTGCCACTTGTTTTCTGCTCCGATCCCCCTCCTGTTAATCTTTCTCATGCTCCATCCTTCTCCCGCCCCCTTGTCCCTTCTTTCCATTATCCCTCCTCTTCCCCTGTTCTAGGGGCTGCGCCAACTACACGTGGCAGGTAAGGAAGATACACCCCCAAGGGGGCACGGTCGAAGACGAAGAGGGTGGGTATCGAGGGTTCGGGATATACGTGTTGAACAGTTCTAGAGCAGATAAGAGCGAACAGTCTTAAAATGATTGTTGCTGTTGCTTGGGACACAGTTTGGGCGCACTCGCGAAACGCTTGAGCATGAGCCTCCAGTTCGAAGGACATGTAGCCGCCTGATCCGAGGCGAGAACGCCAGAGCGCATTGAGGGGTCCAACAATAATAAGCGTTGAGTAACTTATTCAGCAACCATTTTACCCTCATGGGGCATGCTTCTACATGCCACATGCATCCATCATGATGCAACCCACCTCCTGGGAGAACTACATAAATAGAGGGACTTGTGTTCCCTCACCCAGATATCCCGCTCAAGGAGGTCGAGCCAACTCTTCCCCGAGGCACTTTCTACGACCTTCAGCTAGGGAGTTTCAGGCGGAAGCCTTGGTTTTGTTGGAGGGCCGGCATCGAGCAAAAGCGCCAGTCATGAGTTGTAAGCACGTAAGCATCGAGCAACACGATATTCGTGTAGAATGGCTGGCTTGCAGCGCAAGGCGTGAGCACCACCCCTGAGTCAAAAGCAAAGAAGTACAATTGGAGGACTGGCTATCGGCGGCGAGCAGACAGCGCTTCTCCTGAGCCAAATACATAGAAGTGTCGAGCGGAAGCGTTAGTTTTGTTGAAGGGCCAGTTTTCGGCGGAGAGCAAGAGCGCCAATGCTAAGCAAAAGTTGAGGAGATATCGAGCGGGAACGTCGTTGTTGTAGGTGGGGCCGTTTGCGGCGCCGAGGCGAGAGCGCCAGTCTTGGGTCAAAAGCAAAGACGTATCGACCAGGACCGCTGGTTCTGTTTGAGGGCTGGTTTTCGGCGGCGAGCAAGGAGCAAGAGTACCGGTCCTGAGTAGAAAACGCGGGACGGCGTCACGACCACACCCAGGGGCCGAAGCCAAAAGGTTGACCAGTGCGCTAGGAACGACAGGAAGAAGACCCACGGCAGCAGGAGCGGGAGCATCCACGTGTTCACCACGATGCCGAGAGCGTCAGACGTCGCTGCAAAGGTATAAAGGTGTGGCGCCAGCAGGATGCGAGGCGCGGTCCGGCTGGCCGTGAAAGGGGCTCACGGGGCTGCGTCAGTGCACGTGGGCTGCAGCAAATTGCTGCCACATTGAGCCCCCAGGGTGCGAACGCAGCAGGGGCCGGAACGCCAACTCCCATCGCCAGGCGAAACGCGTGAGGCGTGGGGGAGGAGGCCAGCCACGAGCCGCCAGGCCTGGCCGGTGCACGCATCACAGCTGGGCGGGGCGGAAGACATTCGACCACAGGGTCAGCCAGGCGGGGGCGAGGAAGTCGTGCACAGGATGAGAGGAGAGGCGTGAACAGTACACGAGAGCAGGCGTCCCTCCTCTCACGACGCCTAGAAAATATTTGCCCCACTCGCCTCGCCCACTCCCGTTCCCTCCCTCCTGTCCTCTCCGGACAAGAATTTGGGCTGAGCGTGTCGCGCCGCCAGTTCTGGCACACCACGCCTCGGCGCGGCACGCTAACCACGTCCCAGTCCCAAAGCATGAACGTCCCGAGTTTTTCCGAGCCTCCCGCCCCGCGGAGCTGAGCGAAACGAGATCCGCTCGCAGGGCATAGCGTGTCGCCGGAACCGCCGCCGCGTGACGCCAAACAAAAGTTCCTGACCGTACTTATCGTCCCTCCCTCCCTCCTTCCCTCCTTCCCTCCCTCCCTCCCTTCCTCCCCCCTTGTCATCCTGTCATCCCTCATGTCCTCCTGCCCTCCCCCATCCTCTTCGTCCCTTCATTTCTCTCCCTCCACGGCCCGTTGTGGGGAGGCGAGCGGACGCGCTGGACATGGGCGACAGGCTCGCGTCGTCGTCGGCCGCAAAGAAGGGCGGCGCGTCTGTGGACGGGCGCCGCCGGGGGGGGGAGGGCTTCGAGCGGCCTCCGAGGAGTGGAACTGCTGGCCGCGGGTAAGGGCAATGTTAGGGGTGGATGGGTTTCGGGACGTGTTCGTCTGCTCTCGGCGACTTTCTGGCCTTGGGATGCCCTTCAGCGGCTGGGCCTCGCCAAAAGCGTTCCGGGGGTACCCGAATAGTCCCGAACGGCCGCCAGAGAGCCGAGTTAGGACCCGAAGAACAAGGGGCAGCGTTAGGGGAGGATAGTTCGGGCGAGCAGGGCGCGAAAGACAAGACGGTGAAAGAAGGATAACCTTGGGCTCGGGAGGGGCTCTGGTTTTCGGGACCGTCCTTGGACCCAGATCGCCGACAGACTGAAAAAGACAAGGCGGAGATTTCTTGTTTTCGGCCCCTCGGGGCCCTTGCCAGGCCCCAGGACTGTGAAAAGTCGGCTCAGGATGAAAAGTTTGCTTGGGGAAGGAGTCCATACTTCTGGGGGCCCCGGATTGGGGAAAGACTATCCTGGCGAAAGACCCGACCATATGCAGTCGTGAGCGACGCAGTTGTGAGTATCGTCTTCGGTGGAGCTCCTTGTATGGACACGAAACGTGTGATGGATGTGGCAACATGGGCGCGGTGGTCGAATGCGAACGCGTGTGGGGGGTGAGCCGGCACTAAGGCGCGTCGCCAGCCGAGCAGGTCTGCCTCAGCACCAAGGGCAAACGGCGGCGCACGGGCGGAACGGACAGCCGACCCCGCAACGCTCCCCCTAGCCTCCTGGATGACCTCCCCAGCGTCAATCCTCCGGCTCGCCCCCACCTGAATGTGAGAGCCACTGCCAACTTGTAGGCAACCACGCACATCCATCCTGACAAGACGAACGGAAGTGCTGACAACACAATCGTACGCGTCATGGTGGCGTTTACCCGGACAGTCTCTCCAGAGGTGGATGAGCGTTGAAGGACATGGACGGCAAGTAACGTTGCCTCCTCGCTACGCGAGCCCAAGAAAGGCATGGGACCCCCCTTTTCTGACCCCAGAGCCTGGCCTGAGGCGTGCTGCCAAGGGGGAGCTGCCCCGGCCAGTCCTGTTAGCGGACGCTCTGGGAGACGGCGCAGCCCCGGCAGCTCCTCTCTGCCGACCATCAGCGCGCCCCCTTCCCGCCAGCCCCAATCGTGCGGAGGCACCACTGGCTGAGCAGCCCGACGCCGACGCCTCGCAGGCCGCGGAAGAAGAGCCAGCGCGCAAAACCCCCCAGGACAGACGAGCAGTGCGGCCCAGGCGCCTCCCAAAGGTGGCGCGGACGAGGCTCCGCGGAGAGGGCCCCGCCCTGGAGACCAGAGCCGGCACCTCGCCAACCGCCCCCTTCCGCGTCGCCCCCGCCCCAGTCCGACAACACGGACAAGCTCTGCTACAAGCCAAGGCACCAGGTGACCTGGTACCCGACCTGGAACTACCGAGCCGACGCAAGGGAGGACCGGAGAGCAGTGGTCAACCGCCTCAAGAAAGAATGTGGCCCCATGCTGGCCATCCGCTGGAACGCCATCTGCGACCAGGAGTGCGGACCCCACTCTGCCAAAGACCCCCAGCGTCACCATTCGGATCTGTGCCAAGGTTTCGTGCGGACCTCAGCGAAGCCACTTACGACGTACGCAGGCTTTGCCGGAGGAAAGGCGTCCAAGTCGATTGGATTGCTGAGTGGTATCGAGAACTTGACAAGAGGAGACAAATCGCTGAGCTTGCCAAAGGCAAAAGGAAGGAGGGCTTCGCCGCATGGGAAAGGGAAGCGGCCGGCGGACTCCTCTTGGCCCAGCAATGACCCTTCCCGCCAGCGCTGGCCAGCCTCTAGCAGCCACCTTTGGTAGCCCTCGCACAGCTGCCCTGCCTCCCCGACCTCTGCTGAGTTTGACGACCCAGCCCTGGCAGTGGCCATCCTGGCCGCCGCCCGCCCCCCCTCGCCTTCGCGGCTGTTCTACATTGTGCACCTATCCGGTGCCCCCCCGCAGGCCTCCAGCTCGCGCTCGGGGCCTGCCTCGCCACCCTCCCCCATGCCTTCGCGGCTGCTGCACATCGCGCACCTGTGCGGTGACCTCCCCGCAGGCCTACAGCTCTCGCTCGGGGCCTGCCTCCTCCCGCAGCCGCCGGCAGGGCCACCTCGCCATGGAGTTGGCGCGCCTGCGCCACTTTCCGCGCCCTGGTGGGGCTCTCCCGCTGGCTGGCGGCTCTTGGCCGGTGCCCACCTCTGCTGCCCCACTTCGGTCTCGCTGAGCTGGTCTCGCCGTCTACTCGCGGCCTCCGGGCCGCCCCTCTCTGTCCGCCTCGGGGCGCCTTGCCCTGCCCCGCCGCCCGCCCCCTGCTTCCTGGGGCGTCGGCATTCTGCAGGTTTTGTCCAGGCGTTGCCTGCAGCACCCCGCTGGCCCTTGCCGCGCTCCGCTGGCCGGGCGACGCTCGCCGCGTTGCCAGTGTCCTGCCCTTCTGCTTGGTTTTCTGGCCACCTCCCCAGCACCGGCCACCGGTGTCCCGGCCGTTGCTGCTCCCGTGGCACCGCGCCCTCTGTCGGCATTTGCCCAGTTGGCCCATTGGCCTTGTAGCCCACCTTGTTTGCTCCACCTGGCCCGCCGCCCCCCCTTGGGCGCGGCCTCCTCGCGCCATCCGCCCCCAGCCGGCGTTCCTCCGCCGCTCGCCGCCGCCCTTCTCCACGCTTGTGCTTCGTTGGCCCGCCTGGACTCGGCGCTCGCACTTTTGGTCTCGGCACCCGCGTTGGTGTTCTGAGCGTCGCTGTTGCTGCATCTCCTTGCCTCGCCGTTGGCCGGGGCCGCGCCTTAGCTTCGGCTTTCGCCTCGTCTGCGCTCTAGGCCCGCCGCCCCCCCATTTGGCGCGGCTACCGCTCCTTCCCGCCCTGACTTGCAGCGCCGTTGCGCGTCGCCGGGCCGCATCCTCTCTTCCACGCCTTGCGCCTCGCAGGCCGTCCTGGTCTCGGCGCTCCCCCGCCTTGGCAGTCGATCGCTGGACCCCACCATATGGTTCGGCGGGTCGGGTCTCTGCTTTGCTTTCCCTGCCCCCCCTCCCGCCGCCCTGCCGCGGGCTGCCTCCTTTAGCTTCAGCTCAGTGCAGCGCAGTGCCGACGCTGGTCTTCCCCCTCGGCGCCCTCTTTCGCGGCGCCTTCGTGCCTGCCCGCCTTTCACCTCTCGACTGCCCGCGCCTCGCGGGCCCGCAGGTCTCGGCGCACTGGCCCATCCCCGACCGCACCGCCTGGTTCACTGGGTCGGGCCTCTGTCACGTTGTGCTTCTCCCCCACTGGCCGCCCAGTCTGCTGGGCTGCTTCCCCCCCCCAGCTTCAGCTCAGTGCAGCTCAGTGCCGGCGCTGGTCCCCCCCTCGGCGCTCCCCCCGCCGCAGTCGGCGTCTCTGAGTGGACCCAGCTTTCTCTTCCCCTGTCGCGCCGAGGCTCCTCCTCCTCCTCCGTGCATTGCGGTTTCAATTTGCATACAGCGCGCCCCCTGTTGCCAATCCGCCGGAGCAGTCGCCCTCTGCCCAGCCGCCGAAGCGAAAAGTGCCATGGGTGAGCCGACATGGGTACGGTAGCGCCATGCGAGCGCAGCTGCTGGGGCCTTCGGTAGAACTAGCTCCCTATGGGGCTACGAATCGTGTGAGAGTGTGCCGACATGAGCGCGGTGGTGCCACGTGAACGCTGGCATTGAGGCCTTCGGTGGAGCTCCCTATGGGGCCACGAAACGTCTGAGTGGTGTGCTGACATGGGCGCGACAGTGGCATGCGAGCGCCGCCATTGTGGCCGCTGGTGGACCTCCCTATGGGTCCACGAGCTCCCTATGAGGCCACGAAGCGTGCGAAGGGTGTGCAGAAATGAGCGCGGTGGTACCATGCGAGCGCCGCCTCTGGGGGCTTCGGTAGAACTAGCTCCTTATGGGGCTACGAGGCGTGTGGGAGTATGCCGACATGAGCGTGGTGGTTCCACGTGTGGACGTTGCCATTGAGGCCTTCGGTGGAGCCCCCTATGGGGCCACGAAACGTGTGAGTGGTGTGTTGCCATGGGCGCGACAGTGGCATGCAAGTGCCGCCATTGTGGCCCCTGGTGGACCTCCCTATGGGGCCACGAGCTCCCCATGAGACGAAGCGTGTGGAGGGTGTGCAGAAATGAGCGCGGTGGTGCCATGCGAGCGCAGCCACTGGGGCCTTCGGCGGAATTCCCTATGGGGCCACGAAGCGCGTGAGGGGTGTGTTGACATAGGCGCGGTGATGCCATGCGAGTTCAGCCATTGGGGCCCTCCACGAACCGCGTGAGGGGTGCAAATGGGCGTGGTGGTGCCATGCGACGGCAGCCATTCGGGCTCTCGGTGGCGCTCCCTACGGGGCCACGAAAAGTGTGAATGTCGTCGTCGTCGTCAGTCCCAAAAGACATGGAGGAACGAATAAAGAAAAAGAAACGTCGTAGTTCAGTTGACTCCCTTCCCTTCTTCCCTTCCCTGACCGCCGGGGGGGGGGTCGACGGGGTGGGGGGTGGGGGGTACGGGGGGAGGGTTAAATTAGCCAACTCGAACGAGCCAGAGGGTTCCGTCCACTCCCACCCGCCCTCCCACAACATAAGAAGCAAGTGCGTCGCGTCCGACGCCTGTCGCTCATCTTATATCGTGGGCGGCACGTGGGACCTACGGCCACGACAGCGACCATGACGAGTACGACGCGGACGATGACTCTGGTGGCGAGGATGAGACGGAGGACGACGATCACCGACGTCCTTTTCGCAATGCCATTTGCACTGTCGTCGCCGGGTCGGCTCAGCTCCGAGTGCACCCCGTCCCCCGAGAAACCCGGCCCCGCTGCCCAGCAGTCCCGCCATGGAGACGCTCGGACAATTCGCCGCCGGCGCCGCGGCAGCCGACAACGGCCGCGACGCTACAACGTCGCCGACGCGTAAAGGTGACTTTTCGCCAGGGGGACCTTTTGTGCGCTGCTTTTTGGCCCTCGGGGGGGGCCTTCTTTGCCGCGGCCGCAAGGGTCTGGGGGTCGATTTTGGTTTGATTTGTGCGCACCAAAGGTCACTGTTACCATAGGCTTCTCTTACGTGGACACGACAACGGGCGCGCCGGCGGCGATCCGCACTTGTTCGAGGCATTATGACTTGCCGCCCGCCCAGCTTCTCAACCCGACGGACCGCAGCGTCTACGACAAGAAAGTCCATGTTGACGAGCAGGCGTCCCCGCGCGATGTGCGCCGCGTCCCATTCCCGCCACGCGACTCGCAGCGCCGACGAGGAGAAACTACATATTGGCAAGAAAAACGTCGACGTTGCTGTGTTTTTTGACAGGTCGGACGGGGGGGGTCCCCCGTAGGGTTGGCCAGGCGTCCGCGCGCGATTTGCGCCACGCATTATTCCTGCTACACTTTTCGCAGCGTCGACGACAAGAAAGTCCATGCTGACGAGAAAAACGTTGATTTTGTATCGTTTTTGATGGGCAGGACGCGACCACCCGCTTGGGGTTACCCAAGCGATGTTCATTCCTTCCCATTCCTGTTGCACGTTTCGCAACTCGACGACATGTTGGCGAGAAAAAACTGGCTTCTTGTTGTTTTTTGACAGTCAGGACGGCGGGGTTGCTATCGGCCGGCTAGGTGGGGATGTGGGGGTGCTTCATCATAAGAAGTACGGATAAACGGGGGTGCGGGGAGACGGGGGGGGTGTCTCGCGTCAGATTACCGCCCCAGCCCCGGCTCCGACCCCGGCCCTGGCCTCAGGGTCCCATGAAGGTGCCAGGGAGTCCCGGGGGAGGTCCCGCCTTCAGGGTCGGCGGCACCAGCCGTAAGGCCTTCACATTGTACTAAAATCCGTTGCGTTTTCATCGCGCATGTGCGAATATGCGAGGATTGTCGCTCAATTCTCGATCCTCCAGCAACCTCAGAATCCACCCTGTGGCTGGCTCCCTACATGCACCCAGCTGGCCAACCAAGAGCCATCGCGACGATGAAAAGGCGTTGAGCGGTTCAAGTGAGTTAGCAGCCCTAACTGAGGGCAGACACCTCCACGCTGCGCCCTCGGACGAGCAGCGGAGGACTGGCTTTGCTCCCGCCCGCCCAGATCACACTTGGGTCGTGCAGCCATCGTGCTACCCCCAGGAACGCCGATAAGGAACCAAGGTGCTCCTGGCCACGGAGAGCCTCGGCCATGAATAAGCTCCCGGATCCAGACCCCCAAATATCGGGTGGCGTGTCCCCAACCATCCTGTGTTGGGCCCTCGTCTTGAAAAGACAGCGCCCCGCGTCTCCTCTCCTCTCCTCTCCTCTCCTCTCCTCTCCTCTCCTCTCCTCTCCTCTCCTCTCCTCTCCTCTCCTCTCCTCTCCTCTCCTCTCCTCTCCTTCCTCCTCCTCCTCCTCCTCCTCCTCCTCCTCCTCCTCCTCCCACCCTTGCCTCTGCCCTCCGCATGTCTCTGTTTCGGCACACCCCTCACACGCTTCGTGGCCCCATAAAGGAACCCCGCCGAATGCCCCAGTGGCTGCGCCCGCATGGCACAAGCGCGCCCATTTCGGCACACCCTTCACACGTTTCGTGGCCACATAGGGAACTCCGCCGAGGGTGCCAGTGGCTGCGCTCGCATGCCACCACCGCGCCCATGTCGGCAGACCCCTCACACGCTTCGTGGCCCCATAGGGAGCTCGACCGAAGGCTCCAGTGGCTGCGTTCGCATGCTACCGCCGCACTCATTTCGGTACACCCCTCACGCGCTTCGTGGCCGCATAGGAAACTCCTCCGAAGGTCCCAGCGGCTTTGCTTGCATGCCACCACCGCACCCAATTCGGCACACCCGCCACACGTTTCCCGGCTGCACAGGGAACTCCGCCGAGGGCCCCAATTGTTGCGCTCGCATTTCACCGCCGCGACGACGACGAGGAAGACGACGACAGCGTCTCACGCACGCCAAAGAGTCGGCGGATTAGTTCACGCTGGCTTGTTTGTCTAGCGTGGTCGTCGGCAGGCGTGGTAGGGATCGTCGTGGGAGCGCCGTCGTCGCCACAGCTGGGCTCGGCCGCAAACGCTGGACATGTTACAGTGCAGCAGGCTGCTGGGTTCCGACGCACGCGGGGGCACCAGAACACATGCTTCTGGCGGCATTGCCAATCAACGGCCACGGATCGAATCGACGTTGGTTGGGAATTTTTCCAGGACGTTCATCATTCATCTAATTGCTCGCCAGCCTCATCGCGGGTCTGGTTCGCCAGGCTTTCGGCCGAATCGCTCGCCAATCCCCACCGATGTAATTCGCAAGATGCTCGCCGATCGAATACACAACATGCACATTATGTGGAAGACCGAGGCGGGCGATCGATCGCCCTTGCATGAAGAGATCGGCAGATTGTGTCTTTCCATAATACGCATCAGGCATTGGACCTTGGATGGGGGACTGGATCATACATGGCTGGTCAGCTGATGCAGGGCTCAGTGATGAATCGTCGATGGTTTTGCGCATGCGTAGTTGGTTTGGTCGGTCGAAGACGTCCATGTCTGGAGGGGAGCTGGCTGCGGGCTGACTTGGCATAGAGGATTAGAGGGAACGTTCCCAGAGCATTGAAGGAGGAGATCTGTGGACCGGAGGACTCCATCGTAGACTTGGTGACCGCGGAGCGCGAGCGCTGGGAGGAGGAGAAGCAGGCCGCTTGTCCAAACAGCCCGCGCGCTAGCCTGAGCGAGATGTGCAATCTTGGACGACCTTCCCCGCTCAGAGGGCACACAATCGCCCCAGGATGGCAAATCCGTTTCCGATCGTTATCTACCACCCACCCTTTGCCACGCCGAGCGGAGACGGCTGGCAAGTGGATGCGGAAGATATGGGGGAGGGGCCCAAGTGACGGCGACACGAGGGAGCATAGCGCAAGTATAAATAGACCAGCGCGTGGGCCAAACAAAAATGATACAACACCATGACAAGGAACCAGCGATCTCGGGAACAGCAGTCGACAGCCAGACCGAACAAATATTTGGTGGCCAGGTGAATATGGAACACTTGGGAAGAATCGGGCCACGCAAATCCCCAATGGACAGGCGCAACGGGAGCAGACAGGCAACAGCGGTACTGCACAAATAAATGACACCGTCGGGCAAGTCTCAAGTCAGCTATATCAGAACCAGCACTGGTCGCGAACCATGCGAAATTGGACCAGCCAGAAGGACTGTGGAACACCAGAGCCAAGAAGATCATTTTTGGCGGCCAGGCGCATCAGCTGGGAACCACCTTATTAGCTGAACCGAAAAACTCCCGCTTGCCAGGTGCAACAGGAACAGCCCGCGACAGCCAGGAACATCCGAACGACGAAGATCACCGACGGCCACGGTCAACCCCAAACAGTGAGCCTGTGCAACTTGTTCAACGCAATGTATGCTGTGCAATCTATGGGGTCCAGGCCACGGGGAGCAATTCATGCGCTGCACCTCATGGGGTGCACGTTGTTGGTTGTAAGATATGCGAAGCGATCTATGCAGTGCAATTAATTCCTGTTCGCAGTGAGTTGTCCACTCCACTGCTCGCGCAAACATCCCACCCACCCACCCGCAACTTGGTTTGCGAAATCTCTTAAGACCGTGAGGTGGGTACCAAATGGCACTTGGCAACGACAGCAACGCCGACGACGAAAGCGACAACGACGACGACGACGACGCCGACAACGACGACACCGACGACGACGACGACGACGCCGACACCGACGACGACGACGACGGTGACAACGACGACGACGACGACGATGACGATGCCGCCGACGACGACGACGGACGACGACACCGACGACGACGACGACGACGACGTCAACGACGCCGACGACGACGACGACGACGACGACGACGACGACGACGACGACGACGGCGACGACGACGACGACGCCGTCGTCGACGACGACGACGACGACGACGCCGACGCCGACGACGACGACGACGACGAAGACGACGAGGACGTCGCCAACGAAGACGACGACGAGGGAGGAGGGAGGACGACGACTGCGACAACGACGACAACGACGAGGGAGGAGGGAGAACGGCGACGACGCGAACGACGAAAAAGGAGGAAGGATGGCGACGACCACGACGACAACGACGAGGGAGGAGGGAAGACGACGACGACGACAACGACGACGACGACGACGACGAACGAAGAAATAGGAGGGACGACGACGAGACGCCGACGACGGACGACGACGACGACGACGAGGGAGGAGGAGGAAGGACGACCACGGCGACAACGACGACGGAAACGACCACGACGCCAAAGAGGACGACGACGACGAACACGAGGAAAGACAGAGGACGACGTAGGCGACGACGACGACGACGACGAGGGAGGAGGGAGGACGGCGACGACGACGACGACGACGACGACAACGCAAGAGCGCGCGCGCACGCTTTTGTTGAAAAGCCGTGTTGAGAAACCTTGTGATTTTGTAGGCTTCTTGGAAACACGATGTTGACATTCTTCCGAAACCGATGGGTTTTGAGGATTTCGGCATACGCGCGCGACGACGCGCGCGTCTGCACTTCGTCCCATTTTTTTGCAGAGGATTCTCGCGACGGCACACGCGCAAGGGCGTTCGACAGATTTCGACATGCGCGCGCGCGAAGCCCGTTTGGTAGCATTTTGTGAAAATCTTGGAAACCAATGGTTTTCTTAAGATTTCGCAAGAGCTCGCGCGTAAGCTTTTTTGGCAAATCAGTGTTGCGAAACCCTGTGTTTTTCTTTGTTTTGGGGAAACTCGATTGCGAAATCCTTGCGGGACCGAAAGTTTTTGAAGGATTTCGGCATGCGCGCGCGACGACGCGCTCGTGCGCACTTCGTCCCATTTGTTGCAAGGGATTCGTGAAAAAGTGCTATGTTAGAACAAAAAATGTCCCGCATAGTGTTTTTCACAAGGGAATCTCAGGGGGGGGAACCTGGCCCCCCGGTGATAGTGTAAATTCATATTTAGGATGGACTTGTGGTCAGAATCATGTATGATTTACATACTCGAAAGGGGGACCGATAACGCCTGGGGGGGGGTAGAGCCTATTTTGTTTTTAGAAAGGAGAATCTAAGCGTGCAGGAGTGAGCACTATCAAGGGCCGATGGGAGCCACAGGAATCCATAGGAACCCATTGGAACCAAAGCAGCAACAAGTAAGTGCAACACGCGTGGCCAGGTGGGAAGCCATAGGGAGCCAAGCGGCCACACACACACAAAAAAAAAAAGTGCGATACGTAGAGCCAGCGGGGGCAGAAGCCACAGGAAGCCAGAGGAAGACAAGCGGCCACCTGCAAGTGCGACGTACAGGGCCAGTGGGGGGATAGGACACCATAAGAAGCCAAGCGGCGACCAGAAGGTGCGACGCGCAGGGCCAGCGGGGAAGACAGGATGTCAAGCGGCCACTCTCCTCCTTCACTTTCGGCTCCCCTCTCCTAGTCCTCTTCCGGATCCCCTTCTCTTCCTCTTTCTCCACCCCTAGTTTTTATCAACAGCTTGTCTTTGTCGCACCACCAGACGTGTCGCTGGAGTGGTCCGGGCGTTTCGCTTGAGACGTCATCGCATTAGACCTTAAAGTTTTAAGTTCCCAACATTTACACGGATCTAGGGCTGGTCGTGTTTGAATAGGGTTCTCGCCGTAGTTCCGCGCACACTTATCGTAAGACATAGCAAGAGCCAAAATGGGGTTTCGCAGTTTGGGAACACGACGTTTAAGCATGTGCAACAGCTACAAGGATTGGCCTCGAGGTTTTTCACCATGGGGTTTTCGATCCATTTTTTCGAAATGTGAGTATTTACCAGAAGGCCAGAATCTTCCAACATTTATACGGATGGCGGGCGGTGCCTCTTCAAAACGGGGGTCACGCTTCAGATGTCGCCAAATTGCATTCCCCGACGTTCAGATTCGGGCAGCAGCAACACGGGATGTAGGAAGATGTTTTTTCAAAATTGGGTTCGCGCGTGCGACATTCGCAAACTGTTTTACCATGCATTCCAAGATCGTGCAACAATTCTACGGATGGATAACAGTTTATTGTTCTACAGGGGCTGTCGCCTGATACGACATCACAAGTATGACCAGAAGTTTGACAGCGTGTACCTGCAAACCGGGTGGGGGCGTTCTTCTTCACAACGGGGTGTTCGTTTCATATTTGTTGAATGTGTTTACAAGCAGCTACACGGACGGAGTCTCACAATGGGTTTCTTGATATAGATTTCCATACATGCGACCACCATACATTACGAATGTGCGCAACAGCCCACACGGATGGAGGGCAGGCCATTTGGTCAATTTGGGGGTCACTTGTGGTTAAGTGTATAATCAGACGTTCAAAAATGCATTACATCTATGTACACGGATGGAGGGCGATGATGTTGCACAACGGGGTTATCGGTGGGTATACTTCGAATTTCTGCTTACCAGTTATTCAAAAGTGTCCAACAGTTAAACCGCTACACGGATATATTGCAGCGCATGTTTCAAAACAGGGTTGACGTTTGAGATTCTGTCACACGTCACTACGGTATGTGAATAACTGCGTTACCGCTACACTGGTTGAGGGCGGTACTTTTGCTTAACAGCATGTTTCTTCGAGACGACCCCAGATGATACAACCGTACGTTCAAAAATGCATAACAGCACGAGGATGGAAGACGATGTTTCAAAACGGGTCTCTCACTTGATATCGCATTAGTTGTGATGGCCCGAAGTTTGACCTATCGCACCTGCTACACTGATCGAGGGCGGTTCCTGTTTTAAAGCGGTCGCAATAGTTGTAGTTTGAAGGTATGAGTCAGCTTCGTGTTGAAACCCGGTTTCCCCCAAATTGTTTTCACATCGGGCGTCCGTTTTTTTCAAGGAGGCGTTCCACGCGGCGAAGCAAAGTAACGGTTGCACGTATTAATGAGACGCGGATTGGGCACGGGGGGTGTATCGCAGCATCGTTCAAACAGATTGTTTGTATTGTTGTCTTCCTCTCCCTTCCTCTCTCCGCACCATCTACACAGTTGCAGAAATTGATTGCGAGCCTAGATAAATCCCAGTGTGGTTTACCATTGCGCAGTCATCTATTGTTGTGGTCGTGTTGACCTTCGTTATAGAACCAATTGGTTTCCCACCATCCCTGTCATTGGTGGCACTAGCTTGCCCAAGTCTCACGTCTGCCGCTTGGCTATAGAAGCATTACCATGCCAGCCCAAGTGTTGAACCTGTATCTTGACCGTGGGACCGTTAAAAATCACAAGGACGGAGGGCGACATGCGGCTATCATGGTGTAGCGTCGCGCAGATTCGCTTGCAAGATTCCCAAAACAGCTGCACAGATGTGAGGCGGTTCCTTGTCAAAATGCGGTTATCGCATTAGCGTCTTGCACGTCCGTTATGAAGCATTCAAAAATGTGTTGGGAAGGTTTTACGGCCAGTGCCGCCGACCTGGACGACGATGACGACGATGACGACGACGACGACGACGACGACGACGACGACGACGACGACGACGACGACGACGACGACGACGACGGCGGCGGCGGCGGCGGCGGACGACGACGACGACGACGACGACGACGACGACGACGACGACGACGACGACTACGGCGGCGTCGGCGGCGACGACGACGCTGACGTGGGGCAGAGTCCTCAGGGATGTTTCGTGGGGCCTCGTCGGAGCGCG